TTTTTTTGTTTGTTTGGTGTCTACCGGTTGTTTGTCCCCACGGCTTCTTTGTCCCCACGGCTTCTTTGTCCCTACCGCTTCTTTGTCCTTACCGCTTCTTTGTCCTTACCGCTTCTTTGTCCCTACCGCTTCCTTCTATCAACCGCTTCTTCATCGCAGCTGCTCCCAAACTGCCACGATGGAGGGCGAGCCCAAGTGCATTCCCCAGGGCGGCGCGGGGGAGGAAGACAAACATGGAAAGAGGCTCGTCACTCAGAACTGCGGAGTTCACATGAACAAAATGAAAAACGCAGGAGTCGTGTGCAACAGAATAACGGAGCTAAATATCAACTCGAGAAAACAAATCTCCATCACAAAGAGCGACAGCTCACAAATGAAAGATATCCTATCTCATGGAGAAGACAAAACGATGGGAGTTCACCCGGCCAAGCGACCACTCACGTCTTACTCCACCTATGAGAACCAGAGAAAGTATTTCGAAACAAAGTTAGTCCCAGACATGCAAGGAAAAATGAGCATATGCGTAGGGAGAAAAAGTGGAAGTGCTACCGTCAATATCGATATTGATGAATATGACCTCGGAAAAACGTACAACACATGGAAAAGGATTTTTGATAAATCTTCCCTCCAGAATAAATCCAATTTAGTAAATAACCTTTTTCTGACGGTAAATGAGGAGGCTGATAGGAGTGACAAGCTTCCTGTGGTTAAGAATCGAAACGCTCCCTATGCCAATCCTGATGGTCCATTCGAGAAGGAACGATTGAATTTGCCTAAGCAGGCAAGAGACAATCTTGACAGGACCCTGACTCCGCTTCACTGCGCAGATAGAAACTCTCTTTTTACGAAGAAGACTTTCCATAGGTATGGGGATTCCTTTCGGCTGATGCGTCCCCACGGGGAGCCTCCTCTCGACGAGGTCAAGGGCGTCAGGAGGACTCGCTTCCCCTGGGCACACTCCAACCGCCTCAAGCAGATTCTCAGCTACAGCTACGCGGTGGGGGGTGACGTAGCGGGCGGCGATGTGATGAACGGTGATGAGATCAGCGGCGATGTGATGAGCGGTGAGAAGACTAGCGACGATGCGATCAGCGGTGATGCTACCAGCGGCGATGCCGCTAATCACGCTAATAATGCACACCTCGATAGTGCCTCCCCCATTGCGCCCCCCCACTTCGGATCGCACCACGTGAACTACGACAGGGTATACGCAGGGGAGGGGAGGTGCTCCTCCCAGTGCCACACCCCAAATGATGCATCGAGGAGCATGTTCCAGGAGCAGGGTACCTGCTATAGAGCCCCCTCGCTCACAGAAATTGAGTGAACTGCTAACTCCTCCGAGGAGCAACCAGACGCCCCCTTGTTACGCTAAGTGGTAGTGAGCGCCGCCCACGCGCACAGGATAGCCAAAACCGCAGTGCGGATCCCCTCCCCCACGTGTAACACGAAAAGGAAAAAAAAATGAAGTGAAGAGAAGTGACGTGAAGTGAACTCGTTTGGAGATCACCTCGTTGGAAAAATCTCCATTAGTGCAGTTCCCCACTATGGTGTTTTTTTTTTTTTTTTTTTTAGAACTTGTTGCGCGTACATGTAGACAGCTAGCCACGCGGGAAGACTTGCCAGCGAGGCTACACACACGGTCAGGATAATTATTTACACGATAATTATCTACATGATGATGATTATCACATGATGGTAATTATCTACATGATGAAAATAATTTACATGATGAAAATAATTTACATGATGAAAATAATTTACATGATGATAATCATCACATGATGATGCTACTTATCTACGCTGCGTAATGTCTGCCAAAGGGTGTGCTTACACCCTAGGTGGTTCGTGTAATTAATGCGCAGGGGATGTTCACAACAAAACCGGTTCTTCAGGCGGGTGAATACGGGGAATTAAAAAAAATAAACAAATAAAAAGAATAAGGAAATAAAAGAATAAAAATGATAAACAAATAAAAAGAATAAAAAAAACTCACAGGACAACTCCTTCAAAAGGACAAACCATGCGACACTTCAACACTTCAGCATGGCTGGACAAATGGTGGAGAAAAAAAGGGACCTCCCGATTGGGAACATTTCCGAATTCGGAAGCTTCTTTCCGACGAGTGGAAACCCACGGGGAATCACTCCCCTCCAGGGGCATTCTTCGCTGAACTCTTCGCTGAACTCTTCGCTGAACTCTTCGCTGAACTCTTCGCTGCGTTCTTCTCCGCATTGTTCGTCGCCTCCCCCGATGTGCCTCTTCCCCCGTTGACGTAACGCGAGTAGACCTCCCGGATGGAGCGCACGCAGGATTGCACCTCCATGTCGCTGTCGAAGTTGAGGACCATCAGCGGGGTGCTCTGCAAAAAGAAGAAAAAGAAGAAAAAAAAGAAAAGAAAAAAAAATCATCAGGCCACACAAAATATGGTGTGCTAACGCAAAGTGCTGCGCGTAACCCCGAGTGGTCAACTGTCGACCCCCCTTTCTTTTCTCACTGCACTGATGTTACTCACCCTGTTCGTAACAAAGTAAAAATAAAGCGTCCTCCCGGAACCACGCTTGGTCGTTATTTTACACAGCGTGTGAATATCAAACACGGCATAAATGTTAACGACGTCTATTTTGGCCTTCCTGTGATCACATGGAAGAGAGGCTTCCCCACCCTTGGGAGGGCTCATCCCTCTTCTTCTCATCACCATCATCCTCCTCTTCCCCCTCCCCCTCCTTTTCTGATCGTTCCTCACCATTTTGGCATCCTTCGTGTACAAACTATGGTAGTCGGAAAAGGAAAAATTGGGCTCATCGGAAACGCACGAGGAGTAGGACGAGCTGTCAGTCGAGAGGGAGCTACTAACAGAGGGAGACCACTGCTCAGTCGACGCAGACAAATTACTATTAGACACACTAAAATAGGACTTGTAGTAATTGTACGTGTCTGTGATGTGTTCCCTGGTGATGCCTCGAAGTACGTGGGGCGATACGTTACCCCAGTTTATGTCGATACCACTTATTTTGTAAGAATCCATATTAAAGAGGACGTCTTTTTTCTTTAAATCTTTGTACTTGTGGATAAGCACCTTCTGCAATGCCTCTTCTCCTGGTTCGCACGACAGGTAGCATTTGTCGTGGTCCATGCCCCCCGTGGAGTATTCCTCCTTTTCTCGGATGAAGTTCTTCGTGCCGATATCTGCCAGGTGTGGGGGGGCTTCCCCGATCTGCCCCTCGCCACCCGATTGGTTATACTTCTCAGCTGCGGCTTCGTCACACCGCTCAATGGCCGCTTCATCACCCTCCTCGGGGGCCTGCGCACCTCCGCGCCCCCCCGGCAGACTCACCTCATACATGTAGGGCATGCCGTACAGTATAAGCAGGTGGTCATAAATCATCAGTTTGCAGAGGCCCAGCTCGGGCTTGTTCTTTAGGCACGTGTTGCTCAGGATCAAGTCGTTTAGCCGGTCGTCCACCTGCTCATCGTTCAGCCGGTCATCCGCGTAGTGTTTGTCGGAGGTGCTCTCCCTGTTGGCTGCTGCCCCTCCTGGCGCCGCAACGTAGCAGAGGTCTGCGCCGCACCCCCCGGGAAGCTTCTTCGCACGGGCACTCGGCTGGAACTGCATGCCTCTTATGTTCCTAAAGGGGAAGTAGGACATCTGGAAGGGTAGGTTGCAGTTCAATTTGAAGGGGAAGGTAGAGCCTACATTGAAGGACCGATTGGAGTCAAACCCGAGGGATAATTTAGAATCCAACTTGTTACACTGCAGGTAGAGGTTCGGATCGTTAATGGCGGTGCTGCCCCGTTTAATGGACTTGAAATATTTTACGTAGTGCACTAAGTTAGTAATGATATTGTTCGATCTGATGTTGTGAGAAATGAGGGGCTGGTATATGTACGTAATGAAGCAGGTGTAGAGTTTGCGTCGGGGGAGAGCGCCCCCTTTTGTGGTCCCCCCCTTTAGAAGCAAACTCCGGTAACACACAATATCAATGTAGGAGTATAAACTGTAGACATCCGAGCTGGAGGAACAGCTCCTTTTAATTCCCTCCGGCACGTGGTCGCCACCGATTGAGTGGCCTCTTTTGGGTGGGTCGTACGGGGGTTCGGACGCGAAGTCAGCGAAGGAGTGTACCCGCGCAGCGGCAGACGCGGCGTCTACCCCTGTGTGTTCCCCTTCTGCTGTGTGTGCCTCTACCACCGCGTCTTCCTCTCCTTCCGCGTCCTCCCCCTCTGCCGCGTCTTCCCCTTCTACCGCGTCATCCCCTTCTACCGCGTCATCCCCTTCTGCTGTGTGTGCCTCTACCACCGCTTCTTCCCCTTCTACCGCGTCTTCCCCCTCTGCCGCTTCACCCCCACCCTGAAGCTGCACAGACGATGCTACATGCAACAGATCGCTCTTCTTCCTACTACAATAATCGATGTAGTGATTCAAACTGAAGTAATGTTTCTTCACCTTTGCGTTATTACAGATGTGCATGTCTCCATTGGTTGACTGGCTGATCTTCTTCTCCGACACGAATGCACTAACGTGGGCCTCCCTCTGTAGATTCCGTGGGTATGTGACCCCCCCTGCAGCATCGGCAGGAGAGAAGCTCTGACGATTGCCAAAGACACTAGGAGGATCGCTAACAGGACCCTTCTTCCTCTTAATATAGTTTAATAACCCAGAAAAGGTAAATGACGATCCTTCCACGTTGTCCTTCTTGTTGTTATGTGCCCCTCCAGGGTAGGAAGAACCGCCATAACCGCCACCGCCGTAGCGGCTCCCACCCTGCCGCTCCTTCCCCTTCATCCAAACGATGTGCTCGTAGAAAGAAGAAAAAGAAACATCGTCCCGCTCGTCCCTCAGGAAGGAGAAGAACATTTCAAAAATGCTAAAGTTACTGTAACTCTCAAAAAAGCAATCATCTAAAAATTTTTTTTTCGTTTTTCTAAACTGCCTGTAGTCACATAGATAGCAGCTGTGATTAGGATGAAAAAAATGCTTTATCGTTTTTTTGTTACTACCAAGAAGACATTGTTGTCTGTACAAGTGGGGGGCTTCCTCTTCCTCTCCATGAGCAGTTCTCTCCTGATTGGTATCTCCAGCAGTGGTAGCGAAAGATGGACCAAGTGAAGTGTTCTTCCCATTAGACAAATCCAATCGCATCAGAATGTGATAGGAGTTAATCCCTCCTTCGATGATGGACACTTTCCTGAGCTTAGTATTAAATAACAGTTCATAGTAGAACCCACGGACATATTTGGCGTTATCGAAGTTGTCATCGTAGAGAATGACGATCTCCTTCTCAGGGGTTAAAACATCCTCGAAGCGAAAGCGAAGACAGTGTTCATTGCACAGGACCTTTTCCTTTATTAACGTGTATAAGTTGAAGGAGCTCGTGTTTAGGCTTTGCGCCTGGGTGGCGGCACACGTGGGTTCGGTCCCCGGCGCGGGGGGGCCACCACTGGGCATGCACTTCGATTCAGCTTGGCGGGTAACCTGGCCGCTACCCTGGCCGCTAACCTGGCCTCTATCCTGGCCGCTAATCTGGACGCTAACCTGGCTCCCCCTGCTGCAGAGCTCTCCCTCCACCCTGGCAAGGAAAACCCTCTTCATGTGGTGGCACGCCAAGTCGAAAGGCTTGGACACCACGTCGTCGTCGGAGTGGTACCTCTTCTCACCCTTCACTTTCCTCTCCTCTACATATTTCATATTAACATGTTCAGACGTCTTGGATTTAATTTCCCCCCTTTTCGCTGCCCCCCTGGAGGGTCTCCTCCTCGCGTAGATGTTACGAGTGAAGGCATTCAAATCGACTTCCGCGTTTCTCTCCCCCCTGAGGAGGTGTAAGTTTGGGAATACTTCCTGCTGTGTGGGTTTTACCCTCCCCAGTTGGGTCGCCCCCCTCGTCCTCTTCTTCTTCTTCCTCTTCTTCCTCCTCCTCCTGCTGCTACTGCTCCTCTTCATTCCCCTCCCTAGCAGCGAGAAATCCAATTGGCTCCCCCTCTCCACACGAACGGATACCACCCTCGTTAACAAAACATTGTCGTCATAACTTAGGCTACTTTTTAGGTTGTATTTTTTCCTCAGCAGATGCGAAAAGAGAAGTCGGGCGTTTCGGGCGACCTCTCTGTTTCCAAATCGTCTTAAAATGTGAGAAATGGATTGAGACAGTTGTCCGCGTTGCTTCGTTCGCTCCTGCTTCGGATCCTCCTTCCACTCCTTGTTATGCTCCCTCTTCCGTTTCTTTCGCCTGTCCTGCGAGTCGATTTTCCCTGTAGAGTAGTAGCCAGTGCACAGGAGGTGTAAGCTTTAGGTTGTCCATATGGGGACATATAATAATGTGCACCTCTGCTCTCCCCCATGTTTTCGTCTTTTCCCGCTGCCTCACCCCGCAAGATATCCGCGTAACCTTCTACCAATTCTACGTTTATCGAATTCTTCAAGTGAAACGTTCGGAAGTGCCTCCTCGACCGAATATCCAGAAAGATATAGTTGTTCCTCCCTAGAGATATGTTTCTTTGCAAAGAGGAGGGGAGGGTAAAGAAACGAAGATATACTATAAACGGGAAACACTCCAAAAAAGGGAGATGTACAACCACGTCGTTTCGAGAAACACATTCCCATAAACACTCTTTTCCTACTTTATTATTTCGTAAGGATTCACAGACATGTAATCGATGGAGTTGAAAAAATCAAGGAGGATGTCCTTATTGTGATGACTGTTGGCGGAGTGTTCGCTTGTCAAATACATGATCACATTTTTGATGAAAAATAATTTGTGCACAAAAGACACGGGCGTGTTGGCTTCAAGGAACTTCCCTAACGACCACACCTGGGGATGGGGGTGCACGAATGGTGATGAGTACTGTTAGGTGGGGAAGCGACCACAGGACATGATCATACAACACACGGAGGAGGAAACAATCGCGTCACACAAACTCATCACGCAGTGAAGCGGAATATATGCGTGTCCCCCTCATATCGACGCCGTTTCGTTTTGTTTCGTTTCGTTTCTCTTTTTTTTTTTTTTTCCTTTTTTACCTTCCTCAAAAACTTCTTGTTGAAAATGTTTATTTTGCTTAACAATTCGGGTAAATTTGAACTATCGACGCATAAAAATATGTTTCTGCGAGGGGAGGGCAGAAGAGATGTCAATGTCAGTGGTCATACGTATGGATGATACGACGAAGCGATTCGCGGTTAGTTGTATGTGTGGACGGGAGTCTTCCCTGCTGTTGGCCAATCAGAGCATAGAGTCCCACGCGCAAACGGTGTAAACTCCAAACAGGAAGACCGGTCAGGCTCCCCACACACCTGTGCAAAATCAGAAGCGCCAAGGAAAAGAAGAAATAAAAGAACGGATTGCGCTCCAGCACGAAGATCAGATAAATGGCGTTGGAAATTTCCAAGTTGCTTTTGGACGCGAAGAGGGTTAAAAACCAAGAGGCGGCGTAAATCTCGGGGGACATCTTGTTCGTCTCTGCGGTGGTGGCAGCGTTAGCAGGGTTAGAAGCGTTAGCATGGTTAGAAGCGTTAGCAGGGTTAGCCGCGTTAGCAGTGTCAGTAGCCTTAGACGCGTTAGCAGCACGGGGGGAGTTTTCCATCCTGGCAACGCTTGGGATGATGCTACCCTTACCGAGCACCTCGGACAACACGGGGTCGTGGTACTTGATCAAAACTTTAAACAAGTAAAAGGATATTTGCAAAAAGAAAAACTCGTCGTCATAGTAAAACTCCTTCAAGAACCTGCGCGCAGGGAACGTCACGTGGGGGCATGTCAGAACACCTGTGGAGTGTCCATAAAAAGAGCCACGCTCAGCGGACGATGGAAGTGCACTAGGGGGGCTCTTACCGATCGACGAAGCTCTGGAAGCAGAAGTAGACATCAACCAGGTTGAAGTATTTGCCCTTCAGGTAAAAGAAAAGGGCTGCGGGGGGCAAAAAAAAAAAAGTAAAAAAAATATGAACAACATACGTAAAAATGGCTAGAAAAAAAAAAATAATAGTAAAAATTATGAACAGGCAAGGTAAAAATGCACAAAAAAGGGGAGGTGTGACACGGGTAGGTAACCAAGGGGAGGTATAAACAGACACGTGTCGCTGTTCACGTGTGGGAACATACCTAAAACCTCGTTTAGCCCCTGTTTGTACTTGAATTGAAAATGGTTGCAGGCGTAATTTAAAAAAAGGTTAAAGAAGTAAATGGTCTTTTCCTTCTCTTTATTTATGCGTGTCCGGAATACGTCCAAGTCGATAATTTTCTGTTGGCGCGCGGGGGAGGGGGAGGAAGCACAGGAGTTATAGGGGAGGCGCATTTGGATGGCGATCCAATGGGGCGTAGTCGCGCATTGTGCAGAAGAGCGGTCGCCCTAAACAACGACGCAGTCTGCGTAGACAGCGAAGCCGATGCGATGGGCGACAACTTACCTGTGTCGCCTCGTTCACGTTGGGGTTCTTCAAATAAGACAGTAACAGATACACGTCGTAGTTGAAGTTGTGGACATCTGTGGCCTCATTTTGAAGCAGGAATTTTTTGAAGATGATCCTTCTGTAGGGTGTAGAGGGGGGGTAGTGCAAAATGGTTAAGGTGGGGCGAGCGTAGAAAGGTTATCTACAGCACGCGTTTCGTTCTTTTCACGTGTCTGTGCAGGGTAGATCTTCTCCGCCTGCTCACCCCTCTTCGTACCTTATCTTCTTGGGCACATAAAAGTTGTGTTTATGCAAACACCGCAGCAACGTCTTCCGCATGGAAGCGCCATCTTCGCTCCTCAGTCGGTAATACTTCTCATTTAAGAGGTACACATCGTGCGTGGCGAATGAGTTGAAATGGTGATGGCAGTTTTGGAGAAGCTGTTGTGCTTCTTGCTCCTCCAGGGCGGTGAACAAGGCCCGTATGTATTTCTCCTTTATTTTTCTTTTCCTCATTTTTTCGCGATGGGTGGAGCAGCGGTGCTAAGTGGGCGCCAAATGTGCACTGTCCAGCGCGGTGCGGCACATCCGCATGCCAGCCGAGGGGTCCCCTTTCTGTAAATTCTCCAAAGCGTTCTTCAAATGGTACAGTTATGGCGAGGCCACTATTTAATCATTTTTGTTTATTTATTGTGGATTTTTTTTTCTTTTAAAGCAGCTAAATCTTCTTATGCGTAACCTTTCCTTCGTTAAGTCATCACAAAATTAGTGCGTCAAGTGGGGGCCAAAAATTTGGGCAGCCTCTTTTTCCCTCCACCACCCAAATGGTTGGCTAGTTAGGAAGCCATACGGTAACAGAAGTGTATGCCATGTTTTACTATTTAAAGAAAAAAAAAAAAAATCCCCCCTGAGTCTTAAGTTCACCACAGTTTGCTACTTAAGCACTGTTTCGATTCCTGTAGCTTTTTTTTTTTTTTTTTTTTTTTCTCGCTGTACCTCTATCTCTACCTTGGCGACTGTGTGCAAGCGTATGTAAATGACTTGGCCTAGTGATGTACCCATTTTCGAACAGCACATAAATGTTGAAGCGGATACTAACCGCGCAGTGGAAACAGTGGCAAAGTGGCGCACCCTCATCGTTGTAGTCCGCGCCACGGTCGCGGCCATCTCCGGCATCCTCTCCATCGCCGCAATCCTCGCCGTCCCCGCAATCCTCGCCATCCGCGCGGCCCACCGTTGAACCCCACAGCCTGGAAAAATGAAAAACAAAAATAAACTCAAGAGATGCTTAGACGTAATGGGACACCAAAAATATAGGCACCTCTGGAGAGAAACAAAAAAAAAGATTTTAAATAGGATCTATAGTGCAACTCAGTAGAGCGCAAGGGCACATGCATGCACCTTCTGCATCTGCCTCTCCATTGTGTAACACCTCCATTCTGTGAGTCTACCCTTCCGCCACTGCGCCATTGCTTTCCTATAAAAAGTACCTTAGGAACAACAGAGACATAATTGCCAAGGACCACGTCAACCTGCTTCCGTGCAGCAAAGAAAGTGTTCTGTTAACTTATCTGAAGGAGTTCCGACTTCAGGTTTAGTTTTCCTAACGACGTTTATCAGTGTTTCCACTGTCGCTGCGTCCATTTAGCTGTGTCCATTTCTCTGTCCATTTGGCTGTTTCCATTTCTTTGTCCACTTCTCCGTCTGTGCACCAGATTAAATGACTACACATGATTGGCTGCACTGCCTCTGCTCAGCTTGCAGGGAAATACGACGCACATTTTTGCGAATTCTTTATTGATGAATATGGAGAGCGTAGGAATATATGCTCCTCCATAATTCAAGTTTTTTTTCCCTTTGAGTAAGGCGCGTCGCGGGGTAGAGTTTATCGACGGTGCAGGGTAGCCTGTTAACGGTGTAGTGTAGCTTTCTGACGGTGTAGTGTAGCTTTCTGACGGTGTAGTGTAGCTTTCTGACGGTGTAGTGTAGCTTTCTGACGGTGTAGTATAGCTTCCTAACAGAGCAGTATAGCTTCTTAACGGTGCAGTATAGCTTCCTAACAGAGCAGTATAGCCTACTTCCTATCGACCGCCCACTCCCCTTGGCAGCAAAGGAAACAACTACAAAGAAATATATACCCTGATCAAGAGCTACTTCACCTTCGAAGTCGTGTTGAAAAAAAAAATAAAAACGCTGCTTCTTCCCAACGTGGCGCTGGTGTTTGACTGGAAGGTTTGTCTTTCCTTCCATGAGGCGCCCCCCACCCCCATCGATGGGCACGTCCTTCAGGGGACAGTAGGCCCGGGTTCGATTCCGCATGTGGAAAGGATAAGAAAAGCATGGGCACAAGGAAAGCATAAGCACAACGTGTAGACTTACAAGGCCAACTTCGCCCCAACTGCAGATCGCCGATTGCGCGGACTTGTGCACTATAGTGGTGTCCGCCCTCAGAAGTACGTAAAGGGGCGGCCATATTTCGACGTTGCCATATTTCGATATTGCCATATTTCGATATTGCCATATTTCGACGTTGCGAAGTGGAGAGGCGGAGGGAAGGACCGACAGATCGGCATAGAGACTCAGGCAGCCCCCTCCCCTGCAACGGGCCCAACTCATCCCATCCCTTTTTTTTCTTCCCCCTCTGACAGCAAAGAACTACGACGCGTACGTTGTGTGCGGCGAGGCCCCCTTCTCCATTTGCGCGAAGGACGACGTAATGAAGAAAAAAAAAAAAAAAAAAAAGAGGATTGATGGACGGAGCGATATACCGATTGATGTATCGATTGATGTATCGATTGATGAACGGAGCGATGTACCGATTGATGTATCGATTGATGAACGGATGGATGGACGGAAAGACCTGTGACGAACAGGGGCAATGCAGTCGGGGGACATTTCCCCAATTCTCCTGACCCGTTCAGGCAATTCCCATCAACAACTTCTCTCCCCCCCTGCCCTCGCCACCAGAAAAATAACCTCTGCGAATTTAATTTCAAAGATTGGGACAAGTATGAGGGAAAGAAGGTAACCCCTTTGTTATTACCTCTTCCTAGTCGGCACGAAAAGGAAAAAGACAGAGAAAAAAAAAGAAAAAAACAAAAAAATGAAGATCTCTCACAAGAGGTGCACCCCCACGATCTGCGTAGGAGGATGATGCACCGGAATTGTTGGACATAAAGGGGAAGAAGGCCAAGTATAGGAAACTCATGAATATGGGCGTTAGAGCGGTACACACAAAAAGGGGTCCTCTACGAAGGGGTGAAGGGAGAAAAGAGGAGGCAATTGGCCTCCCCCCTACCCCTGAGCACATCCAATGCAGAAAAGGGCGTGAGAACCAATGTGTCTACCGATGAGCCTATGGACGCTGCCTACCGATGCACCGTCGCCGCCTTCCGTTCCAGGCAGAGGAACGCAAATTCGAAGACGACGGATCGAATGACGAGAAGGACCTCTACCTTCACATGTGGATACTCATAAAAAAAAGCCTAGATGTAAAAAAAGACGTGTTCATAGAAATGGGTTCAGGTTAGTTGTCTCCTTGGACAAAAATACGCCTGGAAAATTTGTCCAAATGTGAACTGCTACTACGACCAGCGGGCGAAACTATTGGCACTCCCTCTATGGATTCACTCTGTCGATTCAATCTGTCGATTCAATCTGTCTACTCACTCTCCCCCAAGGCAGAGAATATGACGTGGACGACTGCCCCTATAGGTCGATATTTTACCTTTGGAACGAGAAGAACGTTTACGTAGGGGCAAACGAAGAGCAGTGTACCTATGCAGAGGTGCCAGCAGGGGCCAATGTAGACCTGTATCTCCTGCGTTACTTTGCTTCTTCGTAACTGCTCCCCTTCGTGACCTCTCCGCTTCTTCCCATCAAAGCAATCCCCCTCCCCCCGATCGATCAGGTAAACATCCGCAAAACGGAGGAAGTCGCCACGTTAGTCTCGGAGCTGCAAAACAATGAGTACTTTGTTCCAGCCTTCTACGACGAGATAAGGGCTAAGGTAGGGCGGTGGTCTGCGAAGGGGAATCTGGCACCAGTGAAGAGTGCACATCGACAACGGTGCTAATATGTGTGGGTATGCCTATGCCTGTGCTAATACCTATGGGTATAGCTATGCCTGTGTCTGCACTCATGTATACATCCATGTCGCCACGCCATGCACCTGCTGGCGTCCTCCTTCTTCTCACCTGGCAGGCACTAACCCCCATTATCGAGAATAGGCTCTACAAAATTAGGAAAGACAGATTTCTTTTGAAGTACCCACAAGGTATTCCCTCTCCCCTCCTCTCTCCAGTCGTTTTAACTTCCCTCCCCCTTGGCTAAGTGGACCGAGCTGCTTACGAGGAAGATGCGTATCTCTCCCCCTCCCCTGCAGGCAGCAATACAACATTTTACAAGAACTGTAAGAGGGACCAGTACGGAGACTTCCAGCAGGTTGGTTCGCCGCGCCGTCACGGTGAAGGGATGTTCCGGTGAAGCGCTGTTCCGGTGAAGCGATTTGCCTGTGGACCTCTCTAAAGTAGGCTTTCCTCTCCCCCCTCGTTGCAGCACGACGGACTCACAGAGATGCACACACACTATGGGAATAAATTCTACACCAGCGTTGAATCAGTCTGTTGTTTGTTCAAATATAGAAGGTGAGGGGAAGTGGTCATTGTGTCTCCCTCAAGATGGTTGGCACTGCTACATTTTTAACTCCCCTTGGAGGGGTGGTGTCACACGAAAAAAATCTAACTCATCGAAACAGTTACACTTCGGCACTACCCCTCCCCCCACGCACACACCCCATGCAGAGACGGGAAAAAGGCCAAGCTGTACTTTCCCCAAAAATTCAAAACCGTTGAATATTACGACAGCTGTGGCCACCACTTTTTGAAGGCGCTCAGAGAAGTACGCTAGTTGGGAGGGTCTCCACAAAAAAAAGGAGCCAAATGGAAAGCCGTGCGAGAGGAACCTGCCCAAGTGTCGCCCATTTTGACACTTCCCCCCCCCTGCAGAGCATAGGGTTCTACTCCCACTTCTCCTTCTACCCAAATAGGTAATCACCCGCGTGGCTATCTCTTGGCTATCCCGTGGCTACCTCGGAAAGGCAGCCAAACTGCACATCGATTGTCCCTACAAGGATCCCTTTCCCCCCCTGTGCCGCTCCAGACCCGATGGATTGGTCCATTACCTAGAGGTTAACAGGAGGAAGAATGAAGCAGAATGCACAAAGAAATGGCCATCAACAGAGTAGCCAAGGAGGAGGATGACGATGATGGTGGTGGTGATAGTGATGATTGGGATGATGGTGATGACCCCTCTCCCCTGTCCGCCTTCTATCCCCCACAAATCGTGTCGTCCTGTCTACTCACCACAGATAAAAGACTCAAAAATTATGGAGTATTTTTCCAGCCGGAACGACCAGTATGTGTTCTCCAGTGTGCACTCTCGAATGTGCGCTCTCCAGTCAGCATCCTTTATGGGGACCCTCCGATGGGGCAACTCCCTTATTCTGTTCTGTCCAATAAATGTTCTTTTTTCTCTTTTTCTTCTTTTTTTCCCCCTTTCCTGCCTCCACCCCAGAGTGACATACCGATCGATGTGTCTTTCGCCGAGCGTCAGAACGAATTACAAGTTGCAGGTTTGTGTGGCTAGCTTCATTTTGGCTAGTTCGAGAGAGAAGGAAGTCTTCCCCCTGTGTGTGCATAAATGGGCCCGGATGGGATCCGATACACCCGTTTTTCGTTACTCTCTTTCCCCGGCAGATGTTCGACGGGAAGGAGTACTACGTGATAAAAATGACTGTTAAGTATAAGGACGAGGTTAGAGCAGTTCGTGGACGGGGGAGGGGGCTTCCCAAAGAGGGCACTCAGATGGGGACTCAGATGGGCAGTCACACATGGACACGCTCATGAACACTCTCATGAACACTCTCATGGCCACCCTCATGTCCCCTGTGCACCCTTCCCCCTGACGACATCGCTTCTCCACCCCTGCAGCGTCGCCACAACGGAATCAGAAAGAAAATATTCCTCATCCCAGAGAACAAGATCATCCTCGTGTACTACAACAACTGCAACGAGATAAGTAACACCTTCGAGGTTTATGATAAGCACATCTGGTACAACCCTGACACGGAGGAGGTACTCGGCATGCGAGAGGGTCCTTTCTTAACGGGAGAAATGGAAACAGAGATGTGTGATTCACAGAGGGAAGGACCTAAACTTTTTCCTCCCACCTGTCATGTTCCACCCGTCATGACTTTCAGAATGAAGAAATAGTAACGTACAAAAAGAACTATGTGTATAAGCACTTTGTCAATTATGGGGACCCTCTCCAGAAAGAGGTAAGGGGGGTGAGAAATGACGGTTCAGGTTTAGGGGAGATGGAGGAGGATTGCAGGGGGATGGCGGGGCCATGGTGGAAATTCCATTGAAGCTCCTCCTACCTTGTGTGGACAATTTTATGGACAACTTTCATACCGATTCATAACTACACTGAAAGTGAGCCCATAAATATGAACCAATATACACCCGCGCTTCCGCTCCGACAGACCCTATATCTGCTGAGGGAGGAGCGAAGCCTCTTTGACGACATCGAGAGCACCTACAAAGGAGTTATCTGTGCCATCAGGAAGGTAATTTCGCAGCGCGTGTTCCTCGCCGTTTCTTCTTCAAAATGTCAGTTCGATGATTCATCCAGTGGGTGCCTCCTCACAGGAAAGAAGACAAATGAAAGAAATGGAAGAGGAGTACCAATACGGGCCACAAAATATCATCAACAAAAACGAAATGATATACCACGACAATGAACAAATGCAAAAGTTTAATAAAAGCATAATCGAAGATGAGATGAATGTGTCCAATTTTAACAATAACTATCCGTGGGATCAGAACGCGGAGATCTCCATGAACAATTCGTTTTTTTTATCCAAGAGGAGGATACTTAAAATTGAATGTGCGTGTGACGAAATAGCTTACGTCTCCTCGGAGAAGGGGAAGCAATTGGCACGCCCTGCATTGCGCCCAGTGGTAAAAAAGAAAAAAAAAAGAAAAAAAAAGGGAGGACACCTTCGCGCGCCATATCGCGCCGGGTTACCCCTCGTTTGCCTAGTGCGATAACTCCGCTCCACTGCAGCTCTACTGAATGGAGGCACCAATACCCCGTCGCTCCACTCCCTTCCCCCGCCCCCAGACTGATAAGGCACTCCCCACTCGCACAGGTTATTCACTTCGAGCCTAAAGGAGCCACCAAAGTGGAACTAAAAAAGGGCAACCAAAAGGGAAACAAGAATATGTCACCCCATAGGACATATCTTTACGTATCTTCTCTGTTTGCCCATTTCAGGAGACCCAGCTAAGCGAAATTTTAAAATCGCCAATCCGTCAGAGGGGGAAAGCGATCAAGTAAGTTAGCCCCCCTCTCGTGTCCGAAAATACTTACCTTCTCATTTGTCTCCCTTGTTAAAACCTATTCATGTGGACTCTCCCCCCCAACGTGCGTGTGCAATTCCGCAGAATCGGGGAACCATGAAATTATCCATTTTGGAAGACAGGTTGGCCAAGTACAAACGGGAGCTGTCCGAAATGAAGGTAGCCAAGCCAACCACAGTTGTTCCGCATCCACTGAACTTTAGCATATCTTTTCGTCAAGCACAGAGAGAGAAACGAAACGCACTTACGAATTAGCCAACAAAGGGGCACCCCGCCACCCCAAATGCGTGTGTACAGCATGAACTGGACAAATTACACATGTACGGGTTTTTTTTCTTTTTTCTTTGGGGGGGGTAACACCTCCATATGCCCTTTTGGCAGGACGTGAACGACCCATCCAACTTGGAAGATGTGGAAAGGATAAAGAAAAATATTAAGTTCACTGAAGATAGAATTTATCACTGCCGAAAAAATTAGCACTTTGTTTCTCCCTCTATTTATGTGTTCTCCTTTGGTGGGGGGAGTGGGTCGCCTTTCCCTTTCGATGGCTATTTTTTTTTTTTTTTATGAACGGTCAGGCAAATTAGCAGCAAAAATAGCTATTTTTATCGCCTTTTTACCTGACCGTTCATAAAGAAAGCAACATATGTAGCAGATTTTTTTTTTTTTTTTTTTTTTTTTTCATGGTACAAAAATTGGTAACAGGGTGTGCAATTGTAGCCACGCAAACATGTGTACAAATCTGTGTCGAAAAAGTGACACATTTGGTGAAGCAAAAACACAGAAGCATGGTTGGCCACGCATACGTATGTGTAAATGTCTAAGCGAACATATTTTCCCTTCCCCCTGGGGTGTTCCGCTATGCTGAATTTACAACCGAGGATCGACATTGCAACGTTGCTAGCTTTGTAGTTCTGCGTAGTGTGTGTAGTATGTGTAGTGCGTGTAGTATGTTTTCTTTTGTCTTCTTTTTGTCTTTTTTTGCTTTTTTTTTTTTGCTTTTTTTTTCCTTCCCGCTGGGGTGTTCCACTTTGCTGATGTTACCCCCTGAAGGGAAATCCAACGGACGGCCGCCAAACGACGAATCAGAAAGAACGCCAAATTAGCGTGTCACACCAGATATGCACAAGGGGGAAATTGGGAAAACACACAACGGAAGAAAGAGACTTCAACTTAGCGTTATTGTCAGCAGCTAAGAATAATTCTGCGTTTTTTTTTTTTCTTCTTTTTCCTCGTTGACTGTCCACATGGTCGTATTTTTGAAACCCCCCAGAGTGTGCTAATGCAGACGAGGACATATTTCGCACAATTGCTACTACTTACTGCGCTCGTTTATCACTAACGGAGGAGCAAAAAAAAAGAAAAGGATCAACTCGCACGAACGATGTGACATAAGGGACGGGGGGAGACATTCAGCATAACATTTACGAAGTTACGCAAAATGCGCCTTAGGAGTAGTGGGCGCTGTGTTTAGCTAGAGAGGTGACGAAGTGTCCTCCTTTGGGAATCTCGTTGGCACTTACAAGAAGGGGCATTTTTCGCCTCTTCTGACAGGTGGTGTGCAGAGGATCTTGGCCCATTTTCTGAGCACCCCAAGGGAGACACAATCGAACGGGTGAGCGGTCAAAGCTTGTTGCCCCCATTTTGTCTCGCAGAAACGACATCGTGGCGTAAAACGTTGTGTGGTTACACTTAGCGTGCCCCCAACAATTTGTATTTTATGCGTAGAGAAGACGAGCACAGGGGAAGAAAGGCACACAAGGTGGACGGAGGAACAGACAGAAGAGCAGATGGGAACGTATGGGCACACATATACCTATGTACCCTTCCGAAGAGGCACCTTCAAACTGCTTACTTTTTTTGGGGGGTATTCCAACTCTAGGGGATTCACCTCAATGCAAATTACCCCCCTGCTCCTCTCCTTGAGGTGGAGAAAAAAAATCTGACTTAAGATGGCGTCTCTACAGCTTAAGAGCAATGAAACGTTTTACTATTCGAACATATCCAATGTGGGGGAGGACAGCGGGAAGGGATCGACGAACACTGCAGGGGTATCGAAGCGAGATGGATCTTGTCAAAGAAAAGAAAGTGAGAAGGTCCACTCGGAGAAGTATGTGTGGTGCTTCTATAACAACATGTACAAGAAGATGGAGATATGCGGATTCAGCGAATCGGGAAAGGCTTACACCCTTAAGAGTTAGACACAAAATCGGGGACGCCGTCGCAGTTACGTTCATTCTCGGCGCCGCTAGTAACTACGAGCGGGAATAGCTACCCGCATTGTCCCTTCACCCCCACGCTCACCCCCCTCGTTGACACATCTGTACTCTTGTGCCGCTTTACCTCCCTGCAGGAAAAGGAGAGACCCTGGAGAATGTCTCCGCCGAGAAGGTCATCCCGTGCCTAAAGGAGCACATCCAGCTAGACAGCGAAAACAACATCGACATCATACAACTGAATGAGCCCAACGTGATAGAGAATTTAAAAAATCGATACGCGAAGGATAAGATATACACTTTCCATGCGTCCCTCCTCTTGGCCATCAACCCGTATAAGCAGATTAAGGGGCTCTACGGCGTGAAGAGTATGAATAGGTACTTGAGCAAATTGGGGAGGGGCTCCCTGGGAAGAGGCAGGACTGATGGGCGAACCGATGGCATGATTGATGGTAGGACCCATGGCAGCACCGATGCCATAACCAATGACATCACCGATGACATCACCGATCATCGCTTCAACCACCGGAGCGCCCCTGCGCACATTTACGACATCGGGAACATGGCATACAGAAACATGGTGCTGAAGAGAAAGCGGCAAACCATCGTCGTCTCGGGGCACAGCGGAAGTGGGAAAACGGAAAATTGTAAAATTCTGTTCAAGTATTTCCACTACATTTTCTTCCACAAAAGTGGAGGGCGCCGTGGAGCAGGGGAGGAAGAGGCAACAGGGGAGGACGGAGGAGGAGCCGAAGACGAAGCAGTGGAAGACGAAGCAGCGGAAGACGAAGCAGCGGAAGACGAAGCAGCGGCGCGCCGAAGCAGACAATCCAGTGAACAACTCTTAGCAGGGCTTCACCCGGGTGATCCCAGCGGAGATGCAAATCGACAACGGATCGACAAACTAATATACATTAACAACATAATCGAGGCCATGAGTAACGCCAAGACGATCAAAAACAACAACAGCAGCAGGTGTGGACGGATAAACGATTTGATCTTTGAGGAGAGGAACAGGACAGATGAAACCTTTTTCAATTACTGCTTCTCCAATATAAAGATTTCTATTCTCTTGCTGGAAATCAATCGCTGCATTAGTCACAACAAGGGGGAAAGGAACTTTCACATTTTTTACCAACTCGTTAGGGGATTGACAGATGCACAGTTGGGTCAGAGGGGGCTGGTTCGCGATGTCCATCAGTACAGGCTTCTCCGTTGTGGTAACCATGGAGAGGATAGTCACACTGGTGAGGATAGTCCTACTGCTGATTCTTCCCTTGAGGAAGAGCGGAAAGATGAGAAGAACTTTCAGCACCTGATGGACGGCCTGAGGTACATACAGTACGACGAGGGGAGGATAAGTCAGCTTATAGATGTGATCGCTGGGATTATTCATTTGGGGGAGATTGATCCGGGTGGGGGGGAAGAAGAGCAGCGAATGGACGGTGAGGAGAGCGATGAGTCCAAGTTGGCATCGAAGTCGGCATCGAAGTTGGCACCGAAGTTGACTTCCGAGTTGCCGTCCAACTTGTCGACAACTCCTGAGGCGCCAGCGCCGGCGGGGAGGAGGACCCCAAATGACGAGAGCTACCAAAAGGCATGCGCCTGTTTGCGGTTGCCCGTTGCCGATCTAGAGAGCTTAATCAGGTTCAAATGCATCCACGTCTCTGGGGAAAGGATCCGGACCCATCGGAGCAGAGACAATTCGGTGTATACCCTGCACAGCTTGATAAAGGTGATATATAAAAACCTATTTAGCAGAGTCGTGAGTGACATAAATAGGACGCATCTGTCTGGGAAAGAGAGCGAAGAGATTATGAATGAGTCTGCCTACGCAAGGAATAATCAGATCATTTCGATTCTGGATCTATACGGGTTCGAGGATCTAGCTACCAATGACTTTGAGCAGCTGTGTATCAATCTAGCCAATGAGAAATTAAACAATTACTACATTCTGAACGAAGTGGAGAAAGAGAAGCTTGTACAAAAGGAGGAAAACATCCTCTGGAGTGATGTTCCTATTCCGAACTATGAAGACACGATCCATTTTGTGGAAAGGTTATTTTCAAACCTGGATGATATAACCAAGCTGAATAGCTCTGGACAGAAGAAAGTCGACGATAATTTCTTTTCCTATCTTCTAAATAATGAGAGGAGCTACCTGGAGAAGGGGACCTACGGCTTTGTCAGCAATAAGGATGGCTCCTACACGGATAAAAGGCACAGTGTGCAGAGGAACGTCTTCTTTGTGAAGCACTACGCGGGGTGCGTGACCTACACAGTGAACGAGTGGATAAAGAAGAACAGCGACCGGGTCGAGGCAGAGATAGAGGAGCTGATCGCCCAGTCGGGCAACTGGTTCCTTCGCGAGGGGGGAGCGACAAGTGGGCATGGTGAAGCGATGAGGGGGGAAGGAAATGTGTGCGGCGGAACTGTGGGGGCAGGACGTCTGGGGGGAGGAAATCTCGACAAATTACAAAACGGGGATGGCATAGCCAAGCGAAATGACCCTAACCAGCGAACTAATGCGAACTGCTTTTTGGCCTCCGCAAGGGGGGTAGTACCCACCGTAGAGAGCATCCACAACGCCCCCTCCAACAAAAACATTCTAAGCGTTAGTAAGAAGTATATAAAAGAGCTAGATAGGTTATTCTCAAACATGGAAAAGACGGACCTACATTACATTAGGTGCCTCCTGCCAAACGAACAAATGAAGATAGATCACTTGAAGAAGGGACTCCTCTACACTCAGTTGAAACAATGTGGAGCCATTGAGATGGTCAAAATTGTGAATAGAGGATTATCCCATAAGGTACTAAAAATGGATTTTCTACATAGATGCAGAAGAGACATCCCCAAAACATTGCAGCACTGTAGGGATGACGATATTGTATACTACTTCATGCGATTGTTTGACGAGAGGGATAGGTTTAAGTTGGGAAGGAATTACATTTTTATGTCGTCAGAGGTGTATACAGATGTGCATGGGTACTTGTATGGCGATCAGTCCCATCAGATGAGTAGTCTTCTTCCCCGGGTGAGCGATGAAGCAGAGAGGAAAATTCTCAAAGAAATAAGATCGATGCGATTTAGGAGGTCCGTGACCGTGGTAAAGATACACATCTGGTTTAAGACACACTATAGTCCCTATTTGAATAAAAAAAGAATGATGAAGGAAAAGGCCTGCGATTATATTTTTAAAATGTACTTAATCTTTAAGACAGTGAGGAGTGTGAAGAAGAGCCTGGGGTACAATGTCCGTCGTCTGCAGAAGGTGCTGGCGCGGAAGGCCTACGGGGGGTTCTTCAAACAGGTGCGGGCGGTGAAGAGGGGGAAGCCAAAGAATCTGGGTACCTCCTTCGGCGGAGCAGTGCGCTCAAAGGTTGGTGCAGGGGAAGCCACTAAAGAGGGGACTAAGGAGGGGACTAAGGAGGGGACTAAGGAGGGAACGAAGGAAGGCGTTAAAGAGGGCACTAAAGAGGGCGTTAAAGTAGGCACTAAGGAGGGCGTTAAAGTAGGCACTAAGGAGGGACTTAAAGAGGACACTAAAGAGGGCGTTAAAGAGGGCGTTAAAGTAAGCACTGAGGAAGCGTTACCGCCCAAGTTGCATCCCCCCCCTTGCGATGATCATGATGATGATGATACACACTGCAACGGGCTCAGCCACGTGGCACCAGAAATGTTTGTCGCCACACCGGATAATCGCCATCACGTGTACAATAACATCGACTGGGTCGTGGTGTTCCGAGAGAAGCAGGTGCACCTGTACAGCGTCGCCTACTCCTTTGAGCGGGTGTGCAAGAGGTACCTCCCCGATTTTGACGCCGTCACGGTGAGGAAGCTTCCTTGGGGAGGTGGTGACTATCCCATTTCACAGCTCGAGAGACACAGTGACATGCCTCCCCTCATTCACTGCATCGGACAGCACCCCCTGTACAAGAACATATTCCTAGCGGTGGACGCGGACTTAGTTGTCCGTATCTTTACCTACCCGACACTGGACTCCATTAAGAGTTTCCTAAAAAAGAAGATCGAGTTGCTGAAGCGGGGTAGCGATGACATACCGAGTACCTACCTGCCGCAGTTGCATCGGAGTAGAAGATTTGGAGGCCCCTTAGGCGGGGGATCCTCAATGGGAGCAACCACGCAGGGAAGTCAACCAGGCGAACTCTTCAGCGAAGAAAATCTCAACCTATTTATGCATATGTACAAAGATGTGTACGTGCTGAGCTCGCTGGGAAAGGCAGCAGGGGGGGCCGAAGTGATGGAGGGGGGGGAAGCGGGACGACCAGGGTGGAGCACGCGAAGGAGGGGAATGGCGCCCACGGGAACGATGCCAACCACGCGAACCACGCGAGAAGAGTGCACCCTGCTCAGGCGAATAAAGAAAGAGGAGTACCTCGACGCGGAGATGTACACAAACCCGTCATTTAAAATTCTGAAGGTCACCTTCCTCCCCACGAGCCTTAGCCACTTCCTATGTCTGGCCTATCTGCACACAGGACAGGACCACTACTTATTGGTGACCTTAGTGAACTGCTTCTCCAAGCCCACCTACAATTACACGACGAAAATTCAGATCAGTGACGTTATCGAGAATGAGCATTTTAGGAAGTCCTTTGAGCATTCATGTGGAGATTCCCTTCCTACTGCTTCAATCCAATCGGTGAGGAGATCCCTCCCAGGGGATCAAAACGGAGAGAGAGAGAGAAAAAAAAAAGACGTAGAGAAATATCTCAGCACAATAAACATGTCCGTAATTAGCAACTCGCATGTAGTCATTCACGGAGCTTGTCTTCTCACCCTGTTGGAAGTGCAGCGTTACGATTTATGCTCTGCAGACGTGTATGTACGGCAGTATGAGTACCCATTTTTGCGAGTCGTATTCAATCTGATCTGTTTTGAAGTGTTTAGCCACGTGTGTGACGAGCACATGGGGAGATTGTCGCACGATCTGAAGCACAGCTTGGTTGTTGATGAGTTGTTTGGGGGGAAGAAGTGGGAGAGGAAGAAGTTGGAAGACGGGAGAAGGAATACTCAAATTTGCCTGAACAAGTCAGGCGATCCTGATAGTTGTGCACACTTGGAAGAACCGCCTGACTCAACGGACGCGCAGGAACCGCCTCGCCATTGCTCCTTCTATGTATTTTCCCCACGGGGAGGAATATACCTGTTGACCAATGACGGGCAGGGGGGCTCCTCTGGGGAGCTCTTTCGCCACGGCCCCTGGGGTATTCGGAAGTTCGCAGGGAGCAGCTCGACCGGGGATGAAGCACTGGGAAAGGAAGCAGAAGGGGACGATAAAGCCGAGGGAGACGTCCCTCCGTTCAGCTATTACGGAGTATTTAGCATGAACATAAGCAATTTTTACAAACAGGACTACTACAAAAGTTTCGTGACGTTGAAATCGTCTATCCAGGCGAGCATCAGAAAATATGTCTGCGTGCGGAAGGAGTCATTCATGGGGATTAGCAGCTGCATTAACAGATCTTTGTTCCCAGATGTGTGCATTTTGCGTGAGTGGAAGGGTAGCCGCTTGAGGGGTGTGAAACGAGACTGCCTTTACTACAGCCTAAGGAACGGTGGGGAGGCTATGACCTTGTGTCCCGGGGAGGGGCACCCAGCACCCCTGCCTGACTCGACGTAAGACGCGCGCAGAAAGAAATGAAAATAAATATGGGGAGAGAGAAATAGCTTGTATGAATTTGTACATGTTTTGTACGTCTGTATGAATCAACCCGCACACTTCTGTGTATGAATGAACCCACGTACTTCTCCGTATCCACCGTTTACCGACTGACATTGGTCCTACTTTTCCTCCTCCTCCTGCCCCTCTCTGCACCCGCAGGAATGACCCTTCCTACAGCACCCGTGCCTGCAGTCCTCTGGGCCACTTGGACACCCTGTTGCTTCTGGTAGGGAGAGAAAGCAGATGGCGCATCACCCGAGCGGAGTGCCCATTTCCCTCAGCGGCAAAATATACCTATTTGTAATGCATTCATTTGTAACCCCACTGCCCCAATGACAGTGCACCCCCTTATTGTAACGTCTTCACTTTCCCCTATTCACAGAGACATAACAACAGGGATGGTTCCTACGCACTGGAGTTCTTCAACATAGTGAATGGAAAGGGGAGAGTGGTTCCACTGGAGTGAGCCATCTCCGGACAGGAGGGCACGTCCCTTTGACTCTTCGCCTTTCCTGCGTTGAAATCCGCGGCGTCTTCTTTAACCTGCCATTTGGTCGTTTCATAATTATCATTTGTTTCGCTTTCGTTTTGGGACATTTCGGGAAGGCACACGCGCGGGATGGGCTCTAGACGATCTTCCCCCGCGAGATGGCGGCCGCGATGTTCTGTCGGAAGGCGGGTACGTCGGCCATTGGACTAAGGCAGTCCTCTTCGAGGGGGTCTTCTCGAGTGTCTTTGCGAATGTCCTTTGGAGTGTCTCCTGGAGTGTCCCCTTGAGCGTCTTCGCCGCTTCGTGGGTATGCTCCTCCTGGTGGGCCCACCTGGACACGTCGCTTCGTGCGTCCCTTATCGCTGCGGCTATCATCTCTACCGCTCCCATCGCTTCGGCTATCATCTCTGCCGCTACCATCGCTTCGGCTATCATCTCTGCCGCTACCATCGCTACCGCTATCATCTCTGCCGCTCTTCCCCTTTCCGTCCGAAGAGACGTCCCTCATGACAAAGTCCCCAACGGATTCATCAAAGCAGAGCTTTTTACTCAAATAGACATATTGCTTCTTCTTTTTAAACGTCTTTTTCAGTTCGTTAATTAAAATTTGACAGCTCAAATTTGAGGGAGCTTTGCTTCCATGCGGGTCGACACTTGGGTGCGGAGAAGATCCCTCCTTGGTGTGTCTCTTGTCCGTTTTGTTAGCAATCCCGCACGATGCCAGGTGACTGTCCATTGGTCCATTGGTATACTTACCCTCTGTGCGATTCTCCTCTTTTTGCGCCGTCAGGGATTGCCCCATCGAGGGGTCTTCAACGGAGGTACTCTCCTCTTGGCGCTTCCTCTCCCCCTGCGTTGCCGCCTCAGCGGTTCTACTGTGATACAAATAAATGGCATACGTCAAGGTGCCATCCCTTTGTTGTTCCTTCCTTTGCGAGGTGGGATCATCATTTGGACTTTCTGCATTTTTTGCATTTTTTTCACTTGTTCCATTTTTTTCACTTTTTTCACTTTTTTCAGTTTCTCCCCCCGTGTGGGCGCTTGCCGGTTCCGTTTCGTACACTTCCTTCTGTCTGGGGGGCTCATATGTAGGCACAAGTTCTTCCTGCCTAGCCAACTCTTGCGCCTGCCTTGGATTCTGCTTCACGAACATTTTAGATGCACCCCTGGGATGTTCACCTTTGATTCGATTGATGATGCTCAGGCAGAGGCGCAGTTTGGTTTGCAGCGCGTCGTATATGTGGAGCTCGCCATCAGGCAGGTCACCATCATTAGCAGCATCGTTAGCGTCATCATGATCGTCGCCTTCATCATCGTCACCTTCATCATCGTCCCCATCGGGGTAGTTGCCCTCTGCACAGATGGGTGCCTCCTCCCCTGTCAGGTCCTGACTCATATGCGCTACCGATTCGATGAGCAGACGAAATAGCTCGTCTGATGCAGCCCTCCCCTCGCAACATCTCTCATACAGCTTCTTCTTCTCCATGGCATGTATGTAACGTGTTAAAATGAAGAGGCTCCTGCATAAGCAATAAATGGACATCATCGTCAACAGCATGAGGTGGAGACAGGAGAAAACTTTTTTTCCTGTGTGTAGGACAATTTCATAAAAAGGATGAAGAAAGGAAAATTCTTCACTGCGCATCATTATGTGATACTCCCTTTGATATTTCTCCTTGTAGAGGTCTCGTATGTTTTTGTAGAGGGTCTGTTCGTCTGGGTAGGGAAGGTGCTGCGCCTGTTGGTTAAACCGCCGCTCCCGTTGGTGAAGCTGCCCCTCCGCTTTGTCGCCTTCCCCGGGGTGGCCCAGCAGCGCGACAAACAAATTGAGGTAAGCCCCTCGCAAGACCCACAGATTGCTCACCCGACTAGGAGTCGACATCAACTCAGCTTTTTCATTTATCTCCTCAGCAAAGAAGACTTCACTGCATTGCGTCCCATAAAGGAAGAAGTAAACACGGGTGATGCATTTCATCATTCCTTCTATGCTCCTGTACACACCATCAACCATTGGACGCACTGTTCTGAAGGTCGATTTGTTGCTTCCGTTTTTTCCTCCGCTCTGGTGCATTTGTAGTAGAAGCAGCTGAATCAGTTGCTGAAATGCTTCTTCGTTTTTTCGATAGAGGAAGCTCATCGGCACATTGCCTACTGCGTGTTTTAACCACTTCGAAAAAAGAAACAACAGGAGTAGTTTTGCCAGCAGGGGGAACTTCACCGATAGGGGGATTAGAAGGTAGGGGAGCTTGCGGAGGGGGGAGGACTTTCCCCAAACCGTTGTTTGGCTACTCCCTTTTATCGATGTCTTTCCCGGTTGGCTTCCCTCTGCGGGAGCGAAGACACCTCCCTGGGCGTTCCTTTTATCCTCCCCCTTTCCCATTTCGTTCGATCACAGCGAGGTTTACACCTTTTGCACGTTTTGCACGTTTTGCACGTTTGGAGTTTCACTCAGTGAGGAGGTAAAGTCTCATGGGTACAGCGGCGTACCGCACGAGTGGGAAAAAAAAAAAAAATGGGAGCCACACAAGGAGTGACACGCAAGGGATGCATGACAAGAGTGTAACGCTGAAGTGGGGACGCGGTGATGTGGTGACGTGGAGACGTAGTAACGTGGTGACGTGGCTTCCCCGCTACACAGCTCCTGGGGAGGAAACCTACTCATTCGGGCACGAGTTTCCTTCCTAACTCGAAAAAATGGACCTCGTAACGTTCACCCCAGAGTCACATAACTTGTTGTAAACCACTTCGTTCTCTTCGCACATTTTGTAATTCGCCTGAACAGGGACAGAAAAAAAAAAAGTAAAATAAAAATAAAAAATAAAATAAAAAATAAAAAATAAAATAAAAAAAAAAAATAAAAATATAAAAAAACCAAACTAGCCGCTTCACCAACTGTAGGGCACAGAAATGCACACTTCGGCCACATTGCGGGGGACACACAAAATTGTCTGATTGTCCCTATCTGTGGCATGGGCGCTCCACTGTGTAATTGCTTCCCCTGTGGTGGATAGCCAACGTATAGAGTTGTACAGGCCTTCCCGACTTGTGGTTAGCTGTTGCCATTTTGGCTTACCTTGGCCAGGTAAACTATTGGCAGCGTGAAGAGGAAGACGGAAAAGAGGTTGAAGGAGAAGAAGATCTTCCGGTCATTTTCGGCCATGTTGAACTGGGGGAGGGGATGAGAAGCGGGACAGCGGATGAGAATCGGAGAGGGGATGAATATGAATATCGGGACAACGGATAAGAAGCCGGACAGCGGGGTATACTCATGCACACCTACACACGAGTGTTCTCATCTGCTGACGCTCGTGCGTGTCAACCCGTTTTGTAGGCCCCTTGGGAAGTTTCGCAACGCGGTGACGGCGCACCTCGCCGTTGGCCCTTCGTGTGACTCACTCGTCTCATGTTTCTGTTCACGGTCATGGGGGTGGGGATCCTAACGTACTTGAGCGTGGAGAAGAAGGCAGCCTTCTTCATTCTGGCGCACTTCGGGGCGGGAGAAGTCGGTTAAGATTACTATATGGTGTTTTGCCGTTTTGCCGTTTTGCTGTTTTGCCGTTTTGCTGTTTTGCCGTTTTGCTGTTTTGCCGTTTTGCTGTTTTGCTCATCTGTGTAGCGTTTTACTTAGCGGTTTTCCATCCAATGAAACATTTTTGCTGACGCCTTGGGGGTCTCCACTCGTTCGCGTTAGCAAAGTCGCGTTAGCAAAGTCACGTTAGCGAAGGGTTGGTTTATCTCCAGCCATGCAGTACCCCCAGCCATTCAATACCTCCAGCCATGCAGTACCTCGTGCCGTATGTACACCTGCAACGGGTAGAAGCCAATTCCCAGTTTGGTCGTTTCCTCCTGTGTGCCCCTTGTTACTCTCGTAAGCGGGGGGCAAAAAAATAAAAAAAAAAAATAAGAAAAAAAAAATAAAAAAAAAAAATAAGAAAAAAAAAATAAAAAAAAAAAATAAAAAAAACAGATAAGCAAAACGCTTAGCTGAGTGGCTGTGGCGCCGACTGTTTGAAGTGTATCAAATTGTGCAGATTGCACAGATTGTGAGACCCCGCGGAAGAGAGCCCCCCACGGGGTGACCTCTCGTGTGGTAAATCAAACACGTTGTTGCGGGTATGCCCCTTGCTTCGTTAGTACCTCCTGAGTAACGCTCAAATTGGCGCAACATGGCACAGGACTGTAAGCCACTCGGTCACAAACACACTCCTTCGCTCTCTCTCTCGCTGGATCGTTAAAGGGGACTACACAGAATGGACGACCTGTCAGGACCTCCACTCGTTGTTGACCCTGTTAAGAAAAATGAGGAGGATACACATTGGCTTGACTCTTCTCCTCTATTGCACGGTGCTGAATGTACTGCATGCGATATTGAAGCGATGTCCTGGGGTGACAAAGAGGGACCCTCTGCATAACAAAGGGCTTGGTTACATCTCGTCCCTGGAGAAGCAGAACACTGCGAACAGCGTCCACCTCAAACACATAACACTGATAAAGAGAAAAAAAAAAAAGTTCATTCTTGCGAAAAAAAAAAGAGACCCTAATATGTTAATTACGTTGCGCGCTTCGCAGCAGGAGGGCGCGGATGGGATCAGGAGGAGTCCCCCCCTGTGCATGCTCAGTCAGGATTGTCAGGACCCCTCAGATGGGAGAAGCGGCCAATCGGGTGGAAGTGGGGAAGACGGTGGAGACTTCCAAGGAGGAGGCTTCCCAGATGGAGATTTGCCAGACGGAGACTTCCCCGATGGAGACTTCCCAGACGGAGGGGGCGAGGCGGACGCCACGAACGGAGGCCAACCCCACAGGCAGTTGCAGCCCGCGAGTGAGGCCCTGTCCCCCAGCTCCCCGGGACACGACGACGGGGATGACGTGGAAGATGACACAGATGCGAGGAGGAAGAAAAAGAAAAGAAGGAAGCAGTCAAAGGAGGGGAGGGGCAACCCCATCGAGGGGAGCAATAACCCAACCGAGGAGGATAGACAACACGACAGAAACGAAGACATGCTCAACGTAGACACTCCGGAGTACAACGCGCACCTCTCCGATATAGAGAACACCTATTTGAAGAAAGCTGAGACGATGGACAAGAAAGATCTAGCTGGTCTGGACAAGGAAAAAATGATAGAGGAGTATAATCGGTTGGTACAGATTCTCAAAGAAAGTGGAAATAAAAAAATGATGCAATATGAAGGGAACGAGAAGAAAAACATCTACGAACTAAACGAAAGAGTGATTAACAGCTCGAGGAAGCTAAACCTGGAGAAGATGAAAAAAGAGATCGAGAAGTCCTTCACCCCAAATGATGCTGTGGAGAAGAAGATCCACGATTACATGTACATGTTTACGCAGTCTAGCAGTCCTCCTGCCGAGGCTAGCGATCCGTCTGCTCAGGTTAGCGGTCCGCCTGCTCAGGTTAGCGGTCCGCCTGCTCAGGTTAGCGGTCCGTCTGCCCAGGTTAGCGGTCCATCTTCCCAGGTTAGCGGTCCATCTTCCCAGGTTAGCGGCCCGTCTGCCGGCACTACGGATGGTTCCACAGTAGGTAGCTTCACTCGTGATGGCTCCACTCCAGATGGTACCCCTAACAGCAGCGCGAGGGATGCTGACGCCCCCCGGGAAGAACTGATCCAGGAGCACGAGGAAAGGGAAAACAGAGAAATCCTGAGGCGCCTCTCCCGGGGGGACTACAGCGGAGTAGACAAGTTTCACTTTAAGTTCTCCGCGAAGGATCTGGATAGGATGAAAGATATCGAGTCAACGGAGGAAGAATCGGCAGAAGAGAGAAAACTAATCGACGCTGCCTTCGACAGGATAATGAAGGACAACACGGTCGTGAAGGAGATGAAGGGAAGAGAGAAGACCTTCCTCCAGCTGTACGAGCAGGGGCGGAGGGAGAACATAATAGAGCGCGACGAGGAGGTAGAAAATTTGAAGTATTACAATGAGATGCAGATGCAGAGGGAGAGGGAGAGGAGCGGAGGCGGCCAAAATGGAGACACTGCCGAGAGTAGCGGCGAGACGAGCGGCGGGACGAGCGGCGGGACTGGCCAGACTGGCCGCCAGACCGGCGAACTGATCGACAGGAAACTATTCTTCAACCGCGTGTCTTCCCAATTCGTGGACATCAAGAAGGAGGACATAGAAGAAATGAGTGAGGCGCAAGTAAGAGACGAGCTGAGGAAGAGGGGATACCCCACCTTCGGTTCCATCAAAGAAATTAAAATGAGACTTGAAGACGTCATGCGGATAAGGAAGAACCACGAATACGACATCAGGACCATCCTAAAGAACCCCGAGAAACATGTCCTCTCCCACATACGATTGGACAAATTAAAAGAGAACTTAAAGGAGTTTAAGGAGAATGAGCGCTATGGAGACACCGAATCGAAGATCAAGCAACTCGACGCCTCCATGGAGATATCGAACTTTATTAACGACCCGGTGGATTACCTACGTATAGATACTACGGATCAGTTCGCAGGGGAGACAGAGGGGCACTCCATTGGAGGGCACCCCGTTGGAGGGCACCCCCTTGGTGGATACTCACCTGGAGGACCCCTCCCTGGAGAGCGCCCCCCTGCAGAAGAAGATCTGTCCAAAGTACCCATCGTCAATGACTGCGACTTTAGTGAGCAGATCTCAATGGCGGAAAAACTCCGAAAGAACTTCACCTTAGAAGGAGACGAGAGACAACCAGACGAAGTGATTCGATTCGGAAGTGAAGAAGAGACGGACCAGTCATCTCCATCCTCATCGGAGAGGGAACTGCAGGAACAGAAGGAGGAAATGTACCGGAAGGAAGTCCTAAAATTCGGAGGACTACAAGAGACGGTACAAGAATTCCACTCCAAACACAGCTTGCCTCTCGACTTCATCGGAGATTTCATATGTAAAATGTCCAGTCAAACTACGAGCAGTATAAATAGGTATTGGAAAAGGAGCAAAGGAGAGTCGGAAGCTTTGAAAAAAAACCAACTAGAGATGCTAATGTGTGCTCATTCCATAAACAGAGATTTTATTGTGCCCAAATTTGTCGACACGAATGAGCTGATCAGCAGGTACCTCACGACGAAGGACATCGTTACTCTCATTGAATATAGTAACATGGCGGACCCTGTTGATATTATTCATTTTTACTCTCCGGAGACCATCTTCATGCTGAGTGAGGAGTATGGAATCACTGTGGATAGGGTGATCGATATGTGCACTCGTCTGAACATCCGGCTGCCCTTCGGCGGCGACACGCACCTCAACGCGAACTGCTTCAATGTGCTCACTACGTACTTGGCGCGGGTGAGCGACGAGGACAAGCGGCTACGCGCAGAACGGCGGTAAGGTTTAGCTTGCCGTAGCCCCGTCTATGCCGCCAAGGGGGGTAAGCTTTAGCTGTGCCGTAGCCTCGGTGTTTATTCCCCTTTTATGCCCCCTTTTTTGTCCATCCATCCACGTAATTACTTTTTTTGTGACTTGCTCGAGTCGAGCGAAAAGTTTGTCCGCGCGAGAGCGGGGCTTCTAGAAAAAAATGCTCACCTTTTTTCACAAGGTGTAGGAGGTGCGGTGTAGGTGTGGTGTAGGTGCGGCGTGGTTGCGGTATGCTTGGCATGGAACCGTGGACGCGTGGATGCCGTTCCGAGGAAGCCTGCTCAAAATGGCTATGTGGAGGCTGCCGCGAATCTGCTCCCAGGAGCCCTACTCGAACTCGCTCTGGACGGGCTTCTGCAGCTTGTCCTCCTTGCCGATGCCGCTGACGACGTCGTCGATGCGCAGAATCATGGCTGCTGCCTCGATGGCGCTCTTGTATATCTGCTTCTTAACAGCAAGGAGGTCCCAAATGTTCTCCGTGGACACATCGATGATCTCCCCCGTGATGCCATCCACCCCAAACTTCTCCCCTCCAGGGGTCTCGTGTCTTATCCTCAGCTCGTTAATCGTTTTTACTACATTGGCTCCGCTGTTCTGGGCCAAAATTTTGGGAATAATCTCAAGAGCAGAAGCGACGGCTTCCATTATGCTCTTCCTCGAATCATCATATTGGCTAGCTTGGCTGATGAGGTGTTGTCCGACCCTCATTTCAGTGCATCCCCCCCCATAGAGTAGTTTTCCTTCCAAAATTATATTCTTAGCCACGTTCATTCCGTCGTGAAGGTTCCTCTCGATTTCGTTAAGTACATCCTTTGTTGATCCTCTAAGTAGAATGGTGCATGCCCGTGGGTTCTCACATTCTACAAAATGGGAGTAATAATCATCTCCAATCTTTTTCACTTCAAATAAGCCGCACTTGGTTCCGATATCACTTTCGACAATTTCGTCACATCTGTTTACAATGGTAGCACCACTGATTCGTTCGAGTCTGTTTAGATCCGTTTTTCTAACTCTCCTAATAACACTGATGTTCTTTTTAACGAGGAAGTGTTGTGCCAGATCGGACACTCCCTTCTCTGTAACGACAACATCACATCTGCTGTCTATAATATGTTCACATAACTTTTTCACTTCTATTTCTTCCTGTAGGAGAAGTTTATTCCACGTTTCTTCATCAAGGATTTCGACATTGGTTTGACTTTCTGCCTTTTTATATTCTAAGGTACAATCGAGAAGAAGGATCCTTGGGTTCTTAATTCGTCTCCTCATTTTCGGATGAACGATGTCTTTATTCAGCATAACTCCTTTGAGGACATAACTATCTGTGATGTCTCCTCCAGGAATCTTCTCTACCTTCGCAAACCTTTTAATATCGATTTCTTTCCTTCCCATGACATTCGATTCTATTTTTACACACTGCACTGCCTGAAGAGCTAAAGTACTCACCATTTTGTTATACCGGTTGACAAACTTTGTGCTCAGACAAGAATCAATCGCTTTGAGTAAACTCGCTTCATCATTTATGTTCACCTCGATGGCAATAGAATCTAAAAATTTCACCACCTTGTTCAGTGCGTCCATGTAGCAGTTGACTATTATGGTCGGGTGTATCTTCTGCTTCAGAAATAACTCTGCTATGCTGAGTAACTCTCCTGAGAGGATCACCACGGAGGTTGTACCATCTCCTACTTCTTCATCTTGCGATCTGCTTAACTCGATGAGCGACTTGGCTGCCGGGTGTGCCACGTCAATTTCTCTAAGAATGGAGTTTCCATCGTTTGTTATCACTATGCCGCCTAGCGGGTCCAGCATCATCTTCAACATCGCCATGGGGCCCAGCGTCGTCTTCACGATTTCGCTCACGGCGCGGCTGGCCTGCAGGGGGGAGGGGTGGAGGTAACGAACACATTGGGGTGGGGAGTGCAACAAGAAGGTCATTAAAGCAGCATGATCATCAGCAAAGTTGCTAAACCAGCATGGTCACTAGAAATGTGGCTAAACCAGCATGGTCACTAGAAATGTGCCTATTCCCAACGTGGCCACCACCACCGTCGCAACCACCTGGCGCTCCTCACCTGTATGTTGGACAACTGGGTCTTGCGACCCTCCTCCCTCTTCGTGTTCGGCTTGAAAACGAGGACTGCACCTGGATTCTTCAGCATCTGCGTGGGGTCACAAAGAAGGAGTAGTAAAAAGATGGGCTGTGAAGGGGAACACAAGAGATGATTGTCCTTCACTACCCAGTGGAGAGCTAAACCAACCGATGTTGTATTCACCACTTCTGCGTGTGTATGGGGAAGGGGGGCACTTTACCTTGACGGCTACGCGAGCGAGGGGATACTCTTTGGGGGAGGTGGTGGTTCTCCTCAGAAGGGGTGATATACTTATCTCCGCTAATTTGGAGGTAACCACTGGGGAAGCGCGAAGTGGATCAAGTGGTGGGCCACCGAAATGACAAAGTGATGGATGAGAGGAGAAAGATGAGCAATGATAGCAGGGAGGAGAAATAGAAAAAAAAAAAAACTTATTTAATCCCAAATGGGCATAAAAAAAAAACGATACATGGGGACACAAAAAAATACCACAGCAGTTGGCAGCAAAATTGCACGTGACGAGAAAGGCTTAAACCACGCGGGGATGTAGGAGAAAAAAAAAAAAAAATCAGCAACGAGAGGTAGCCTTAGCAGGGCTGGAATATCACTCCAAAGGGTTTTTTTTACTCCTAAAAAAAAGTACACAACCGTGGTTCCTACAAACTGCGTACGGTGGTCCCGCTGTACACAGGGGTGGCTCCTCAGTGGGGGCGTCCCTATCACCCTTCTGCTATGCAGCTGCTGAGGTACCACATTTTCGGCGCCCCTCGGGAGAAAAGTAGAGCACCCGTATTTTCACTGCTTGCCTGGTTTGCCGGCTGTCAGTTGGTTCTCTCTTTTGTTGACGTTCGCAAAGGCAGAAAGGGCATGAACGAATGGGTGCATGAAGCTTCACCACCCACCCTGGCATTTTCCCCATCGAGCTTAATCATTGGCAGCGCCCCTTCACCCCTCCCCCCCGTTCGTACACTGTGTAACGCTTATCGCATCGTTGGAAGGGCAGTCATTCTCCTCACAAGCAGAGCTAAACCGTGAGGATGTTCCCGAGAAGAAAAAAAAAAGGGGGGATGGAAAAAAACGCCTCCCTACGGCCTCCTCTTTCCTAAATGAGGACCCCACTATGTCTCATGGCGTCAAGTGGAAATCGCCCAGTTGGAACACAATGCGAGGTGGCACTCACCAATTTTTGCATTTGGAATCTCGCATTTGGCATCTCGCATTTGGCATCTCGCACTTCGCATTCATGCGTAGTTTTTTTTTTCCCCCCACCCTCCCCCATGTTAAAAACCCTTTTAGGGGTTGAAATTATCCCTCAGAAGAGGAGCTTAACTCCATCACCCCGATGGCGGCAGCGCGGGCAATTGGACGTTGTCCCACTTAGCACGGGAACACTGCTTCGTCGTTACAAAAAAATGAGCAAACGGGAAAAGAATGTTATGCCAAGTTGTTCCCCCGCGGGTGCCACCTCTGTGTGTGCAAAAAATGAGAAGGTTTTCAAAGAAGATACATCCGTTGTTCCCACAAAGGTGTGAAAAAAGAAGAGGAAGGGGAAGAATGTCCTTTTTTTTTTTTTTTAGTTCTAGCCACGTGTGGCCATTTCATCCCTCCGCTTTTTAAAAAGATCGCCTTTTTACCTGAACAAGTCAGAAAAAGGCAATCCCATTCAACGCAACTCAATGCATTTTTTTTTTTTTTGCAAAATGGCTACCTCGTTAGAGTTAAAGCTAGCCATGTCCAGGGTGCCCATTTGATGGCCCTCTCAACCGCACCAATGTAGGACTCTACTTACGCAGCGCGTTTTTTCTTTTTACGATTGTGGGACGTACACTAGGATGGGATATTTTAACTC